CTGATTCCCTTCCTTTTATGTACTGTGCTGTTTAACACCGAGCAGTGTGAGTGTTACTCTGCTGGAGCCGATCTACTGCGTTGCCTCAGGTTGCTTTGATGTGATGCGTTCAACGTGTTTAGGAAAGATGAGGCAAACGGGTAAGCTGCAGATTATTCGGTTTCCACAGAGTTTAATAAGCAAGGTGAGCCCGTTGAGTGAAGTGTCGTCATAAAAACGGCTTCAGTTGTGGCAGCAAACCAACACACACTGGCTTGGAGAATTCAGTAGTTTTAATAAAGATGGGCTGCGGAATGGAAATATCCCTTTCCAACTTGTTTTAGCTCTTTGACAAGGTTGTGTTATACCTCCTAGGGTTTAAACACAGTGCAGTCGGTATCGATTAATTTATTTAAATTTTTTTTATTTTTTATTGTTAATAAGAGAGACCCACTCATGCATAACCCCTCAGACTTGTATTTTCATTTTTTTTTATCACACTAATGTATGGATGAGTTTAAAGTGGATCTTGTTTTGAGATGGTCAAAGCTGTGGATGTTAAACAAGTCGTGTTTTAAAAAGAAAAGAACAGATTCGGTATTCTAGTCCTCTTCCTTTTTTTTTTTTTTTTGCTTCTTATGCACCATTATGATTAACACGTGCCCTCAGCTGTTGCGCTGTGTGGCTGCTGATTCGTCGTGGTTCTCTGAGCCTCCTTCAGCTGCTGCGCCCATCCCTCTCTTCCTGTCCCCCATGCTGCTAACTCTTTGTTTGCTTTTTCTATTTTCTTGTCCATCATCCCCCCACCCCCACCCCTTATTTCTCATAAATGTGACGGGACACGTTTCCGGTTGCTCATCAGACTACTTGCTAATGTTGCTCAGTTGCATAATGGACATTAATGCAAATCCCCGTAACATTATTTAAATTTCAGCCTGAGATTCATGGTTATTCACCAGCACAATGAACCAGTGTTGAACCAACATTTGCTCTCGAGGAAAGCCTAAACTTAGTCATTTCTGTTTTCTTTGCACAATCTCATGTTGTTTTTGCTCTTTCTCCTCATTTCTCCTCCATGCAGTTAGCCCGTTTGAGAGGAAAAATAGTTTTTCCTGTTGGTTAGTCCCCCCCCCGGACTAATACATAAAAATTTAAAAAAAAAAAAAGTATATAGGAAATGACAAAGGGTTTCTGTAACTCCGCGAAATAAACAGTTTGCGGGCTCATGACTATGTTATTTGGTCAACTTCCAAACCACTGAGGTCATAATTCTACAGTTAGAAAATATCCACAAGTGGGAAAAATTCAGGACAGCTGTTAACCTTCCCAGGAGAGGAAGTCTCAGCAAGTTCACCCCAAGGTCCAAAAAATACTCCTTACTCAAAATCCTATGACTTCACAAGTCTCTCAGTTAAATGTCAGCATCATTAGTCTTAGTATGTCAGGGGTACAGATCAATTAAATCTCTAGTTCTAAATAATTTGGGATGCTTGGTAAAGGTTTTTTTTCTTTATCATTGACCTCCCCAGTTGAGCTCAAGAGGTTAAAAATAAAATAAGACTAGACTAGAGGGTATATTTGGAAAAGTTCCTATCAGAATACCTCCTCTCTCTAAACAGACTTTGGTCACTTTGGTCTTTGTATGATCAAAGACCAAAGCGGTGCTACTGTGCAGAAAAGCCCAAAATCCCATTTGGCAAAAAACCCCAAATTGCAGGTCTGTTAACACGCCTTTATCACCTGCCATCAGACTCGAGCCAGACCTTGGCCGTGATTCTTTAAACCTTAGAATTTAAAAGGGGTTTACTTAGTGTGTCACATGACAGTGTACACTCATAGTTATATGGCACGAGTTTGCCTCTCATGAATACTTAACTGTTAGTAGGGCAACAGCAATTAATCTTTGTCTCTTTGTTTAGCAGAGACCAGTCTCGTCTTGTTTTTTTCAGGTTTTATTTGTACTGGACCAGTTTTCTTTTCTTCCTCCTGTCTTTTTCGTATTGTATTTTTAGCTATGATTTAAATTGAATAACTACATCAACCCTCATCCTTCATGTTCATGGCACACTTGCAAATATTATTTTTATTTAATTTTTTAAAACCTCCGTAGACCATTCTACAACAGTGTTCTCCGTCAAAACTGAACTGGGACCGCCTTCAGTGAGACATGTCTATGCGTTAAGTTATGTGTGTGTGTATGTGTGTTTTCGCATTGAAAACAACCGTTTCTTTCCGAAATTTGTGTGGACACCATTTCTGTGTAAACCGGTCACTATCGCTTAACGAACACGGTACAGTTGGACGCTCACACATCCAGAGTAAACTTCACTTTACCCACACACTCCCCCAGCCCAAGGCTTTTCTACGCCGCACTCGGTCTGATCGAGTTATCCTCGCTCTGTGTTGTTATCCATTGAATTAGCCCTTCACCGCTTCCCCGGACACAACTGCTGAGCGTTCCTCCTCGAGCAAGATCTCTTAACAACATGGAGAGCATGAGCCACTCATGCCCGTTAGCTGTCGCCATCTCTGTAGAGCAGCAGTTGCAGTGCAAAATTGAAGTTTATGTTTTGGCTTCTTAAGCTGGTGTTGGACTTCCGTTTTCAGACAATTTCCACTAATTAATGTAATATCTGAGGGTATATTACAACTTTATGCAAGTATATATTTTGCTTATTCGTTTCCATTTATGTTCCAATTTGTATATGGATATGTGATTCGGTGTTAAGTTTATACTGATATGTATAAGTTATGGATTTTCTTTTTTTATAATTACCGTTTACTGATATATATATATATATATATATAAAAACATTTTTTTCTTACAGTGGACTCGTCTGAAATGAATTCAAAACAATTCATTCAAAGTTAATGTGGTTCTTGGGACTAAAAGATCTTCGGATCTAAAATATTTTACAACTACCGGTACATGTTTGACAATACAACAAATGTTCAATATATGTGGTTTATGGGTAAAGTGATAACACTATACATAAGCACAAAATATAAAGCATGAAATGTATTCGCAGCTCTGGTGTGTGGAGGACACGATGCTCATCATAGAGGCTTATTATCCCAACTTTTCAAAGAAATGGCTAATGGCTGCGTAATGTGGGTTGAAGGATTAGTTCAAATATCTTAGCGTTAAATGCTGACGCTCAGTATTAAAGGATCAGACGTCTTTAATCATACAGTTTTCAAGAAGACAGAAGAAGTCATGTGTTCAGTCTTAATGTGGTTATATTTTGTTGCGTCGACTAAAGTCCTCGAATGCATTAATCCAGCTGTATTTGTTCCGCTTCAGGCTGTAGATTATGGGTGAAGTGAAGGCGGGACCCTCCAGTTTAGTTACTAAATCAGTTTCCCACTTGAAAGATAGGCAGCTTCCCTGTTTGTGTCTGAAGCTAGAAACGTATGGAGACGTGTCATGTGTCTAATTGAGCAGGTGTGGATTGGATTTCCAACATACCACTAAAGAAAAAGTGACTGAATCTTCACTGTATTCATAATTATGACCCCAAAGGTCTTCCTCCTTATCACGGGCTCCAGTTAAAATCACCATATTCACACTGAGAAGCTCATATCTGTAAAGAGTTTCACCCTTTTGTGTGGCAACCATCATACATGTGACAGGCTACACGTTTCTAAAAGTAGCTCAGAAAAGTGAGCATTACAAGTTTTCCAGGGATGGCTCGGTGCACTTTTCCCCTCGTAATGGGTGTATCTAACACAAGTCGGGATTTTTAGGTGTGGCTATCAAAGCACATTTGTTTTGAGTTGTTCAGCAGATCAGTTTAGTGGCAAAATGACTTTTTCTTTCTCTCTTTGTTAACTGCAGCATTTTTAAAGGATTTGTTTTTGTGGTGCCCATATTTTAGAGAAAATGGTTTAAATCTTTTACTTGGCACGATATACTGACCCAAACAATATTTTGCTTATTTATGCTTTCAGTTTATGGCATTTAAACCAAATGGTGAGCTGTTTTTAGGTACAACAAACACGCTGGATGAAAACGTTTGAGTCATTCTGGCGGGTTTGGTCACAGAGACTAAATAATGAGTCATATTTTGTTGTCTGGCGTAACCCTAGGGTCCACTTTCCCAGAATTCACAGAGCCACAGTTTGAATGAGTCTGTCTGGATCAGCTTCAGGAAGTAATCTTGTCTGAGTGTACAAAGATTTTTAAAGTATTGGAAGAGGTTGAATAAGTTTTTCTGTATGGGTGTGGAGCGGGATGAGAGAAATTGATGTCATTCATCCAACTGGTCCAACTTCTATGTTATGGCATGATCGATATGGTTACCAAGCTAAACTAAGCCTGTTTTGCCTATTCTAGCCTATTCATAGGTGTTAACATCTGCCATCTGCAGATAATTTATCATATGTTACTAGGGAAGATGCATAACCAGTATTTGGATATAATAAGAAAATGAGGGATCAGTTGAGTAACAGAAATCTAGCTCGAACCCGATCACTGGCTTTCATCCAGTACTTGGAAATCTCATTCTTCCCTTGTTCCCTTTACGAGAATATCACCATCCCAGCGTGAGTGCAAAGGAAAAAAAACCTTCCCAAATTCACTTCGTAACAGAACTGTTAATTTGGCAAGCAAAAGAAAGTTCAGGAAGCCTTGTTGTCGTATATGCTTTTTGTCAGTTTCAAGAATGACTTGCAAAACCTGCCGGGAGTTTAAACGAGTCTTTCTAGAGATAATAGTCTCGGTCTCTCTATTCTGTGTGTCTGGCTCGTCACTGACGGCAGCAAAATTGCAAAGGAAACAGGAAAGGCCTGAGCGGCTTGGCGTTGGGACGGATATCCTCTCGTGGAGGCGTTCCCCCTCCTCTCTCACTCACTTAACTCTCCCTCTCTTTATCTCATTTTATCTTTTTTTTTTTTTTTTTTTTTTTTTTTTCCTCCTCCCCCCGTTGCCGGCACATTTTGTTAAACGGTTTGCCTTGGTTGAGAAGCCGGCCAGAGTTGCTGCTCGTTTTTTGGGGGGGCACGTCGAACCTGAGTCAACCATGTGCTGGCACGGGGACGAGGAAGATGAGGACGGTTCAGAGGTGAAGTGTTGGCTGGCTTGTTTTTGTCTTTCTAATTACCTCTCTGGCTTAAGTGTCTCTGGGGCCTAGGTTCTTTTTTTTTGTTGTTGTTGTTTCTAGTTTTTCTAGTGACTAGACCAGGAACGAGGGCTAGTTCTTTGCTGGTGTTTTTCCTGTATACCGAGGCGCCTGTTAAGCAGAAGGACGCAACCCCTGACCGAACCCAGTTCACGGACAAGACTCATTTCATTGTTTATTATTACTGACTCAAGAGTTTAAAAAAGAAAATGCCATGTTAAATATGTTCTTGACTTAAAGTAATTCAAGACCCGCAGACATATGGGATAGTACCGGTTTTTAGATTGAAACATTCTGAAAACTAGCTGAACGTTTTCATTCCTTGCTGCTCTTCCAGCAGCCTTTTCCTCTTCAACTTCCGTCTCCAACTTAGCTTTTTCCTTCACCACCCCCCATCACTATCATCTCCCTCTCTTTCCTCCCTTTACAGCCATATCTTGCTCACCATCTTTTCCTCCTGTCATCCTCTTTCTCAACATGTCACATTACCAGATTGAATGGAAAGGACTTCTAAAAGCAAGAAATCAGATTTACAGCATTTTTAAAAAGTTTAAGGAATCTATTATTTATATATATATGTATATGTATGTATATGTATATATATGTATATGTATATGTATATGTGTGTATGTATATGTGTGTGTAAATCTTGAATTTCCTCGCTCTTTTTAAAAAAAAAAAAAAAAAAAATTCATTTTTCCTTGCCCTTTCAATAATCTTTGTCTTTATCTGTCCCTTCAGAATGACCCGGACGGGCTGTCTGTACTGGAGCAGCTCGGACTTGACCAGAACTCCGACTTTTCGGACTCGAGTGTCCAGCAGCTTCTGGATGAGCAGCGCGAAAGAATCCGCAGGGAGATTCGCAAAGAGCTGAAAATCAAGGAGGGCGCTGAGAACCTGCGCAGGGCAACCACAGACAAGAGGAACGCGCAGCAGGTGAATACAAAGTCTTACAAAAATTTGAAAATAAAGTCTGAAAAAGGAATATTATCACATAAATCCCAACTGTGGGAGTGGAAAAAGAATCTTTCACCACATGTGGAGCGATGGAAATGATTGTACAAGGATGGAAAATGACTCATTTTCAGCATTCATAGCCTTGCAAACTTTTCTAATAAATCACAAACGGCCTTGGATGGTTATGATAAATATTTGTCAAATATCTACATATTCTATAGAATATATAGAAGCTTGGGATGCGCATTTATTCTGCACAAGGTCTGGTAAGTTTCTAGCGTGAGTGGGTGGTTACCTGCCTCGAGCTCCACAACTAAAGGTTGTTATACATCACCAGACATCTAAAACCATACAGTTACTGGACACTAGCAGGCATTTCACTGTCTGCATGAAATGAAAAGCCGTAGAACAGTTTAAAGACTAACAACTGCTCATGGGCAGATTTTTGTTATTTCATTAAATAAGGGAGGGAAGAAATGACAAAAAGCCAAAGGGGGTACCCATATTACACCTTTACCTTTTCTGTAAATACATTATTATTATTGGGCAACTTCAGGATGAGGATTGTGCAGTGACTGTTTTGGTTCGAGAAATACACACATTTAGCTTTTCACCACTGTGATCTTACAGTGTCCGTTTAATGCTTATGTCATTGATATGATGAAAAAATAGATCAAATGTACCCTTTCTTCAAGGAGCAAAACCCTTTTAGTACCTTATGCTGTTGGACTGTAAACCATGTGTCTCAAACATTCCACAGAAAAGATCTTGTGAAGTGAAATATTCTGTTCACTTTGACCATGCAGTGCAGTTTACAGAGTTTTCTTGTCTTTCTTTTGCTTAACTCCAAGCTTTTCCCAGATTAATGTGGCACTCGGGTAAAACACCTTTAGCCTCAGGTAACACATTATCTCCACTTGACCTGGTTTGCTTTTTCGCTATTTGTGTAGAGGTGTGAGCTGTCTCAGTCAGGCCCCCAGGGAAACTCACAAATACACGAGTGCACAAATCAGAGTGGAGGGCAGCGCCTCGAGACCGGATGCCCAACCGTGACAACATAATTGTATTTTATGTAGAAGTTTATTTGGAGTTGGCCAAGAGCCTATTTTATATACAATTTATAAAAAATTTGTTCTGCTTTCTAAAATAATTCTAATTTAAGCAAAAACATGTGTGCACGTGGCATCAAGTTATGAATAGTCTGTGTCAACGAGAACATCTTTTTCATAAACCTTTCTGTCAGGATTTTTAAAATATCCGACCTCGCGTAACATAATTTTATTAAATAAATTGTTTTTGCAAACAATAGTTGTCTATCAGCTTACTGTACAGTGAGAAGGCACGCACTACAAATCCAAGGTTTTACAAAAGATTTTTATCATTATATTTACAGGTTGAGGTTGAATTATGTAGCTGTTGAGTTGGAATTGTTCAAAGGAAAGCACAATAACTTATAACACTTTGATTGCAGTGAGTGCCGTAATATGTCATCCTCAGGGTAATATTCTCCTTGTGAATGCTTGTGGATAAATAATTATTGTTAGAGCTGAACACGGATGACATACTTTGTGTAGTTTTGATAAAAGCAGTAGGGCTGCATGCAGAATGGCATGATATCAACACAAGCTTAAAAACGGCATTAAAATAAATTGAAAAAAAAATCAGGAAAGTGCTGAAGACATGCTGGCTTCCTTGCTCCTTATCCTGTTCTGATTTATGCCCTCACATTTCTCAAACTATTATTTCGTGCTTGGCTCGGATGATAATGATGTTAAATACGGGAAGGAAAGCAGGATTGATTAAGAAATCAGATGGACCTTTCCTGCCTCGTTTCTGCTCTTAGGTGGACAGTCAGCTGCGGTCGTCCAATCGCAAGCTGGACAGTCTTCATGCCCAGCTGCAGGAACTGGACGCTCATATTGTAGTGAAGGGAGGCGAGGAGAATAAAGGTACGACTGTGTGACGCTATCACTGCTGAGTCCTTCACTCAACAGTTTATCACTCCATCATCAAACTCATTGCTTGCATTTTTTTCAATAAGATTTTTCATCTTTTTTGTGTGTTACCTGGTAAATTCATGCTTTTCTAACAGTTTTATCTGCATCATATCTTTTACTGCCCCCCCCCCTTTTGTTTTGTTTGTGTGTGTTTTGTTTTTATTTATTTATGTATTTTTCCTCCCAGATTTCAACCCAACTGTTCACTTAGCTGCCATCTGGCTGATGAGATCAAATAATTCTATAAATAAATGAACTAAATATTTTTGGCAGAAATATCATAACGAAAACCCATTTTGTAATCATGTGTAGGGATTTTTTTAGAGGAATGGTAGAGAATGTATTAATTCGATATCCACAGAACCATGACCATTTAAGTATTAAAAACAACACCTCATTCAAGGTATGAATCTTTGTTCTGTGTGCTCATAATCGGAACCGTTGTTTTAACTCCCATCTTTACACTCTTGTCGTAAGGGGCCTACCATAAAAGACAGTTCATTACCTATTTTCGGAAGAACTATTAGCTGAAAACTTGGACCATCTCAGCCTGGTTTACAAAATGTCCTTAATAAATTGAACATTAAACTATTGTTGGACAAAATCTTGAGTGACAGGCCTGAAAGGCTATTTACAGCAAATGAACAGTATCTGAGAGTGATGCCCTTAAGAAAGGGAGGGGGGTTCAATGCTTTTCTTCTCTTTATTCTCCTTATTTCCCCCCAGGGGCCGTCTTGCCTGCCATTGAGCTTTTTATTTTGATTGTTTAATGAGTTTTCTTGACCCAATACTGTGCTACAAAGGATTTCTTCAAATCCAGAATAGGTTTTCTTGTATTTTAAGGTAAAAGTATCTGTCCTTACAATTTGATCAGATCTGTTGTTATACAGCAGCTTGGTTAAATATAAAATATTCTTGTAATTTACCAGCATTCTAAGAAGCTGTTTGAAATGCCACGGAAAGTTTTGTTCACTTTAGCCCACCCATAGGAACCATTATCATGCTCTGTGTTATATCATATTCAACTTTCCCTTCCTTCCACAGATGAGTGTCCTCAGTCTCCTGGGGCAGACAGTCGAACATCAGCCCACAAAGAGCGCATTGCAGCCCTCGAGAGGCAGCTCAACATTGAGCTCAAAGTCAAACAGGGAGCGGAGAATATGATTCCCATATATGCTAATGGCTCCACCAAGGTAAACGCCACCCCTATATGCACACTTTACTGACATAGGAAAAAACGTAGCAGAGTATATAAAGTAGATACCATTGTCGACAGGAACAACTTCAGAAGGAAAGATGTCGCACAAATGATACCCCCAAATATTTTAGGATGGATGGATCCCAAATATAAATGATCAGTGGAACTGCGTTCTGCATAAAAACCAAAAGTAATCTAAAAAATGCTTGTAGGCTAAAACTCAGAAGCTCTTTCACCACTGTATATGTTCCTAATTGATCACTGCCCCCTCCCCCTACTTCCTTTATTCTAAAGCATCCTTTCTTCCTTTGACCTTGGTCTCATAGATTCACTTCCTCACTGCTACACAATTTATAGAGCGTGAAAGAAATAAAATAGATAAATAAATAAAAAACACAGGGGGGAGCAGCAACAATCAGCAAGTAATAAAGGAAGTTGATACTTTTCTCTTATTTGTTATATTGTTTTCATGTTTTTACTTGCAAAGTGACACGGTATTTATCATTTAGATTATTCTCTCTGTCATTTCTATTTATTTCTTGCTTCCCGTCACGTGACGCGCTTGTTATTCTGTTCCTGTTTTCACAAAGGACAAGAAGATGCTGCAGACGGCACAGCAGATGCTGCAGGACAGCAAGACCAAAATCGACATCATCCGTATGCAAATACGCAAAGCTGTTCAAGCCACTGAGCACAACGATGACACACAGGGTCAGTCGGAGCAGCTAACCATGCTGACTCACTTTTGTCCTTGTTGGGTCCCTTTACATAAAGCAGCAAAGACTTATGGGATTTCAAGCCAACTGATCTCAATGTCCAAATTTCTGTCAACCTGTTGAAGTCTTAAAAGTAAAATGCACATAAATCCATTTAAATCACACATTTATGCGATAAAAAATTGGATTGGGTTCGCCACTCGTAGGCGTTAGTTCTGAACTGTCAGTTTCAGTCTGTGAGGTCTGACAGTTGTCAGCTGGCAGTGACAAGATTCTTCTCACAATTCCTTTTTTCTCTGTCATCTTTTGATGTGCACTCTGTTGTTCATGCCTCAGGGGGGTAAGTGGTAAAAGGACTGTGCTTGCGTTGTTCTTTTGTGGCCTCTCTGACCACGTAAAGAGCTTTTATACTACAAAGCATTTGTAGTCTATATTCATACTTTTATATAGAGTATTTGATGACCTATTGAGTTGTTTCCCATTGTGAGTAATAACGTGTGACATCATATGAAAATGTTAAAGACCATACGAGGTGTTGCAGCCAAATAACTTGAAGAATTCTCTGAACAAATACATTTGTCAGAACCGTCGTTTTGGACTAAGTGATTTAGCACTAATGAAGTCCAGTTGTAACCTACTTGACGATAAGAATCGAGCCTCCACCCCTTTCACATACAGTCCTTGGATTGTGTGTTTAGTATGTACGCACCGACAGTCTCCAGGCGCCCCACCCGGTGGATTGGTCATCCAGAAGGGTCTAAGCTCCAGGCAGCTCACCTTATTTGGAGATGAAAGCATCCACATCACTCTCCACTCCAACCCCCCTTTTTTGTCTTCCTTTCTTTCCTCATGCCTCTGGCAAGGTTTTGAAAAGCTGATAAGTCTGTGAAGTTGTTCTCGATCACTTCTGTGTTTGTTTCTGCTCTATATCATTCCTCCTGGATTCAGAAATTTAAAAAGCACCTTTCCAAAGAGCTGTTTATCGCATCTGTCTTGTTGATTTATCCCACACCCTCTCCTGCTCTTCCCCGATCAGTGTTTTTATTACCCACAGAGCCCCTGTGCATGAGAGGTGTGAGCCAATATGTCTCCGTCTGTTTATCAACTGCCTGACAAGGCAGCATTTTACCTCATTTTCAGATCTATTCTAACTGCCATGTCATTTTACATTTCTTGTTTGTTGAACCCTCTTCAAGCTGTGCCTATGACAAATCATATTACCCCAGAGCTATTTGAAATCTTTAATTGTAAATGACGATTAAACAAGTTAACAATAGACCACCTTTTTAATGTTTGTTTTTTACAGATGAAATGAGTTTGTAGCTAAAGTTAGTATGTTCTCATTTTATCTGCTGCATATATTTAGGCACTCATCTCGCTTATTGTAACCATTATTACCAAAATCTTCAGAGTCCTGATGAGAAATAGATTAATATATTCAAGTGGCTGTGGAGCCTTACTCGATTACTGAAACGTTCATCTCTCCAGTGCACGGATTTGCCTTTAACCTGTCCCCACACCCCACAGGCAGCCAAGATCTTTGTGGGGTGGAGCTGCGTATTGAGGAGCTGAGACATCACTACAGGGTGGAGCATGCCGTCGCAGAGGGGGCCAAGAATGTTCTCCGGCTCCTGGGGACCAGCAAGGTTCAGGACAAGAAAGCCCTGTCTGAGGTTAGAGCAGATGCACAAAGGGAGGGTTTCCTGTCACACATTTGAAATCGTTATGACACACCTGCAGATCCCCACATCAGCCGATACATCGGGAGCAAACCCGGTTCTGATCCAAAAACCCTCTTACAAATGGCCTGTTTATATTTTGCACCTATTCTGAAATATTCAAATTTGATCGTGATCAGTGCTTAAATTTCTGTAGTTTTCACAAGATTAAGACTTGATAGGTCAACATAAGTGTGTTTTTGTTTAAAGAAAAACATCAGAGGAGCAATCAATTGGTTATTTGTGAGTAATTGTCCATCAACCAAACACTTTGCAGGCACAGTCTCGTCTCAGCGAGGCGTCCCAGCGCTTGGATCTTCTTCGGAACTCCCTGGATCGACGTCTGGCAGATCTACCCGAGGACCATCCCAAATCCAGCATCATCAAGGAGGAGCTGGTGTTGGCCTCCTCACCTGCCTTCAGCTCCCGTCACGGCGCCCCCTACCTTCAGAACCAGTACAGCACACTCAACAAACCTTCCCCTCTAACCGGTACGTTGCACAAAACAAAAGTATGACGGGCAAATTAAAAGGAAACTACACGAAGGCAGTGCAGATGCACACATGCAGGAAACGCAGTGGCACGAGATGCCTTTATACCTTCATTAAGAAATGTCCCTGAAAATGTGCTGCCTAAAACCAAGTTTGTGTTCAGATGGATTAAGATTAAATATGAATCAGAGACCACTGCATTTTGTTTCTACGGTGCAGAAGTGAACAGCTTCAAACCAATTTTGATCCAAGTGGCGATGTCTAATAACACAGAAGAAGCACTGTGTATGTAAAAAGCCACCTTATTGGTGAAGGTGATTTGAGTTTTTCCCCCAACAGCCCTTCATAAGGAAATAATGCCTTTTCTTTCAACAGTTGCCGTTGGGGGGGAAAGGTATCATTTCAGTTTGGCTTGGCCTCTGGAACATTCTGTTTCTTGGAATCGTGTTTCAGCGGGGAACTTTCTTTTGCATCAATCTTTTTTTGTTTAGTTTTCAGAAAAGTTTGTACGATGACAGAAACTTGTATATGTACGGTACACATTTTTCAAATTTTAGTTAAAACCTTTGTTAATGAGATAATTGTGCATCTGTCTGTAATGACTGTTGAGAAAAAAATGTTCCTCTGTATTTGTAAAATAGTTTTTGGTAAGGGCAAACAGTTTACCAGTGTTACCACTACTCATGCATAGTTGTCTTCTCAAACTTGAAAATAATATGTGTTTGTTTACCCAGAGAAATAGATTTTTGTGGCTCGTTATGTTTGGGTCTTTACCAAATGTCCTTGTTCTGTTTCAGGCACCTTGCAGGTGCAGCTGCTGGGCTGCGTCGGCTTGTTGGAGTCAGTCCCGGGTCGCAATAAAGGGACGGCCATCATGCTACCCAGCTACAGCCCCGGAGACACCAAGTCCTTCATGAGAGGCAGTAAAGGATTGTATGGCCGCAGTGGCTCTGTCAGTGGGAAAACGCCAAGCAAGACGGATGAACTCTCCTGTAAGCTGTTAAAAGTGTGTGTGTGCGAGGCGTGGTTTCACAAGGTCCTCTGAATAAACTCCAACCCGTGTGTGTCTGTAGCTGAGGTGAGCGCAGTGCTGAAGCTGGATAACCTGGTTGTGGGCCAGACATCTTGGAGGACTGTGGGAGAACAGGCCTGGGACCAGACTTTCACCGTGGAGCTGGAAAGGGTGAGTATGCACGCACAAAACTGCACATGCAGATCTGCCAGTATCCGTTTTACAATTCGACTTTAGTACTTTAAATGTAAATAAACCGGTAATTTTGCATCTCTTAGTGAATGTATGTTTTGTTTGTTTCAGTCAAGAGAAATGGAGATCGCAGTCTACTGGAAGGACTACCGCTCACTGTGCGCGCTTAAGTACTTGAAGCTGGAGGAGTTTCTGGACAACCAGAAACACAGAGTTCAGCTGGAGCTGGAGCCTCAGGGCGTGCTGTTGGCCGAGGTAATCTCCAATCATTGTTGCGCAAAAGAAAGACACCTAGACATGGACACGCATGTCATTTTCAGACTGTACATATGGATTGCGGCAGATACCATGAGTCATTCAGATGTGTTTTCACACACGCCTACAAGCAAGCTGTCACAAGAACATGAGTTCCATATGTTGCGTTCAAGTAAATTACAGGTCTGACGTTTTTGCTTGTTTTCATGTTGCTTTGTGTGTATTTTTTATTTATTATTTTTCAGGTGATCTTTTTTAATCCAGTCATCGAGAGAGTTCCTCGTCTACAAAGGCAGAAAAAAGTCTTTTCCAAGCAGCAAGGTGGGAAGATTACTAGAAAAATCTGATGTTTCTTTTCCCTTTCCTTCCAAACCCCCATATAACCCCCCTAAACGCTCTCGCTACAAACAAAGGAAAAATTGTAGGCAATAATATGCGATTTCATCAAAGATGTTTTTATACGTCTGAGGAAGAGCTGCAACCTGTTGTTGGGCTCGCCTTAATTTTTATTTGCAGCAACAGCTCCCTCTAGGGGGTAATTACTTTTTCTCTTTTTGATGACGAACAAAAGAAAATGTCTCAACATTGTCACATCATTATCAGAGAATAGACAAACTGCAGGTCTTCTTTCAGATTTTAAGCTGCTGAAAACGTTTGAGATGCTTAAAGGTTTGGATATTATTTTGTCCGATCCAGGGGACACCAACGTGGGTCCTTGGGAGTCGGTGTCCTGTAGGTTTTCTGGAGTTTCCCGGCTTCAGTACACCTGATTCATGTCAGCGTGCCATTATTAGGCCTGCGCAGAGCTTTTGAACTGATCCACGTCGTCAGAATATGGTGTGCTGAAGTAGTGACGCTCCTGAAACCTGCAGAACTCTCAAAGACCGACTTTGGGCACCCACGGTTTCAACAGGCAGCTTGCAGGAGATTCCTCCTGTAGATGCCTTCACCAGGAAATAAGGGATTTGTTCTCCCTCACTATCACACCAGTGACACGTAGCCTTTGTAACGAACCTGATGTTGGAGAATTAAGCGATTTGCCTTGTGTGTGACTTTTATATCTTTGTGCATGTACTTCAAGGCAAGGCGTTCCTGCGGGCTCGTCAGATGAATGTGGACATCGGTACATGGGTGAGGTTGCTACGAAACGCCATCCCCACCGTGAACAACTCTGGAACTTACAGCCCCAACGCACACAGCCACTCTCTTAACTCTGGGTGAGACATGCACAGCAAAAAAAGAAAGGGAAAAAAAAGTTTCTACTCTTGTATTCTACATCAGAAACAGCATTTGCGGCATTGCATAGCTGTCAATCCGACACAAAAGCATTCCTTGAACCTTTTTTCCTTATGTTTCCAGGCAGGGATGGAAGCTTATGATGCCTTTTCTGCCCCATGTCTAACGGTCCTCTTGTGTTTCTGTTCTGTGTGCTCTATCCGTCCGCACCATGACGTCTGTTTGTGTATGTGTGGAACTTCCAGGGAGATCTCAGTGGAGAAGTTGAGTTTGGACAGCGACTCTCCAATAAGAGGAGATTACAAGAGAGACTTGGACACACACACTCCGGTGAGACAGACAGAGAGAGAGGAGACCAAGGAGATAGGGGAGGTGTGTGGTTGGGTCGTTTTTTCTTTTTGAAAAATCTTCTATTTTCGACATGTATATTTGAGCTGTTTTAGCAAAATAACCCAAGCGTCAGTAGGCCTGGTTGCTCTTAGGCTGCGTTCAAAGTCACAAACTAAATCCTCAACAACTAAGGGAAAAATGTGTAACACTAACAGATTTTGAGTGGATTCAACTGAAGCAGACTTCCTCATTTTACTGCTCTTTGCCTGCCCTGTGGCGAACCAATCAGGTTCTCAACACTTTAAACACAAAGAAGAGCGTTCGGATTATATGTAAATGTAGATTGTTGGGGAGAAAAAGTTTTGAGTGAGCAAATGTGGATCTTAACTACTTCACTGCAGTCCATTGTCCATTTACTTTGAATAATAATGACAAAATTTGCCAAAAAAAAACTGTCAAAACTGATATTTGTAAAAGTGTGAGAAAAAATGTTTATCATTGACGCATAAATCATTGTTTCTAAATGTAAATTGTTGTTGTAGGCTGAACGTAAAGATGTTTAAAGAGTAAAACTACTTCTCTTTCCCACTCCATATGGTCAACTGTTGTCTGAGCATATGAGAATAGTGGTTGGCACCTCTGTCTAAAACAGGCCAGTAAACATTTAGCTAAAAAAACATGACTATTGACCAAAAAAAAAAAAACTAGATTCCACTTCCATCACTCCGGAAACAAAGAGATACTGGGTTTGAAATATAGAGCAGGGACAGAAAATATCACCTCCGTCTCTTGTCTTCCATTGTGTGTCTTCTTATATCCTCGTTTTTTTTTCCTTTTGTCTCTTTCTTAACGTATCTCCTGTAGGACCTATTGCCACCTTGCGAGTCCCTTACCCCCAGAGACCACACCCCTGAGTCCCCTGTCCGAACCCTGTCTGCTAGGAGGTACATACACAAAGACACTGTCTCGTGTCCATTACTTTGGGCATCTTTCACTTTTGGTAGTTCAATAGTAAACATTTTCAGAGCGCACAATTTTCTTGTATTGCATGGATTCATTTATTTATTTTAAATGATGCATCACGTCCACTCATCAGTAGGCAGAAGAAAGGTCCTCTGTCTCTCCAGGACTTCAGGCTAATCGCTGTGCTGGGAAGGGGACATTTTGGGAAGGTAATATTTCACGAAAACCTTTCTAAGATGGAAAATTTATGTATTCCTTTAATTTTGATAACATTCCTGACCCACTTTGGGGACCAACCTCTGTCTGTTTGTATACAAAAAACATCATTTTAGGAGTTCTGATGACATCGGACTTCAAGTAACTGAGGAATGATTTCTCCTTATTATTAAATCTACTTTGGAGATCGTGATAAAATAGTTTCTCTGTGTCTGCAGGTGTTGCTCTCGGAGTATAAGAAGACTGGAACAATGTATGCCATTAAAGCTCTGAAAAAAGGAGATATCGTTGCTCGGGATGAGGTGGAAAGGTGCGTGTTAATGTGTTAGTTCTTTCACTCTTTACGATTAGCTGTTGTTCATTCCTAGACTTCTGCAAAACTTACATTCATTCACATTTGCATTGAGAACTCCCTCTTGTCCATCTGTGGGCTTAGTTTTCTTTAAAAAAAAAAAAAAAAAAAAAAAAAAGCTTAATTGACCCAAATAAGGACTGTTTAACTGTTTCTTTAATCCTCCTTTCATGTACACATTCCTCTACATTTCCTTTCTTCTGTACTCACTCATCTTTCTGTCTTGCTCAGGACTCTGTCTTCAGTTTGCTCCTTTTTCTTGCTGACTTTGTTACACTGCGTTACATACTGTTGATCCTTCCTCCTCAGTCTGATGTGCGAGAAGCGAATCTTTGAGGTTGTGAACTTGTCGCACCACCCCTTCTTGGTCAACCTCTTCGCGTGCTTCCAGACCCCAGAGCACGTGTGTTTTGTGATGGAATACACAGCAGGTGGCGACCTTATGATGCACATCCACACAGACGTCTTCAAAGAGCCACGAGCAGTGTATGTAGAGAGAGTGTGTGTGTGTGTGTGTGTGTATTATTGTTTTAAACAACAAAATGGAGAATGAAAATAAACCGCCAGCATTTCGTTAATAAAAAGATTAATAATTAAGGTAACTTTCACTTTCCGGACCTCTCCCCTAAGTGATTAATCTTTAATTAATGCACTTCTCAATAGGTTATAATGTGTTGATTAACATTTTCTTGTTTAGTTTTTTCCCCCATTTATTGCATGAAGTACCACTTTAACAATGTAATAAATGTATTGACAATTTTAGATGTTTAGATTTGTATAAGACTGCATTTCCATAGTTCTGTCAGTAGAAAGCTCTCTGACCAAAATGCCCTCTTTTCAGTATTGTGATTATTTTATATGATCATTTTTCGCTATAGTTTCAGTACTGATGTTGATTTGCTTTGACTTCAGGTTTTATGCGGCTTGTGTGGTTCTTGGACTTCAGTTCCTTCATGACCATAAAATTGTGTACAGGTGGGTGGACGTTTTTCTTTGTATCTACTCAGGAAGCGGCACCAAAAAACATCAACCAGACACTGTGGAAAAACCTTATAGACTAAACTCTAAACTTTTCCCTCGAACAGTAAATTGATGCTAATCATATAATGAGAAACACAGGTTAAACTTAAACTCTGTTTTTCACCTCTTTAAAAAAATATATAATAAATTCACAGATGCTTCTGTGTTTGATCACTTTATATTTGTGTTTGTTTTGATTAAGAAATGGGGAAAAACAGGAATAATAGGATTCTATTGTAAGTTTGCCAGACTTGTCTCTAAAAGTGCTCAGTGAATTCATACTAACTGTAATGATGCGGACTTCTTTGACACCAAGGGTTTACATCAGTATTAAGTACTGTGAAGCCTTTATTGCATTTTTATTTTTGCAAATCTTATGCTTTCAATCCTGAGTTGAATTGATTTGCCCTTCTTCTGTAATGTTAATAGACCCTTCTTATCTATTCTCCCTCCCAGAGACCTTAAGCTTGACAATTTGCTGCTAGACATGGATGGCTATGTGAAGATTGCAGACTTTGGGCTGTGTAAAGAAGGTGGGTATTTCTTTTTCTGAGCAGTGGGGTTTATATGTTACACGTTTTGCCCGAATGTAGTTTAAATTTCTGTTTTTAAGGAACAGCAGTGGTTTCTGGTATGAAATGCTGTTGAAACATGAAACATCATCTTTAAGTGACTACTTTATAAAACAAAAAAAACAAAAAAAACCCAGATTCTCCTAAAAGCTTGTGCCTAAAAATGTTTAATCTGATCTGTCTGTAGGAATGGGCTATGGGGACCGGACAAGCACATTCTGTGGAACGCCTGAGTTTTTGGCCCCAGAGGTTCTCACTGATACTTCCTACACCAGAGCTGTAGACTGGTGGGGACTGGGAGTCCTCATCTATGAAATGTTGGTGGGAGAGGTGAGAACTAACGTGAACGTGCTCAAGGCTCTTCTATAGGGTGAAAGCTGGATAAGATTTATGTGAACACACCCTCTAATTAATTGTATCTGATGAGAATGTAGGTACTTTAACAGCAGAGATGGTGTTTGTCCAGAGGATAGAGCTGATCTGTTGCAGGACTTGAAATATATTAGGACTTGGTTAATTCATTTAATTACATTACAACATACACTTGACGAAGGGCAACCTTGACGGAGTCCAACTCTCACCAGAAAGGAGTCTGACTTACGGACCATTCTATGACTCCGGTCATACAGGGACCTAACAGCCAGTAACAAAGGGTAACCCCATACTACCAGAGCACCCCCCACAGGACCCCCCGAGGGACATGGTCGAACACCTTTTCCAAGTCCACAAAACTTTCCGTTTGATCAATGAAAGATTGTATATTTTGCAGTTGTTCAATTTATTGCTGTACATTTAAGATTTTATATGCTGTATAAGAGTCCCTAAAATGACTCGTATTAGGCTAATTTGATGTGTGTGTTGTTTAGTCTCCATTCCCTGGCGATGACGAAGAGGAGGTGTTTGACAGCATTGTGAATGATGAAGTCCGCTACCCGCGCTTCCTCTCCACTGAAGCAATCGCCATAATGAGAAGAGTATGCATAATTTCTGACTTTCCTACTTGTCCCCTTGTCATCAACATATGTTATAAAGGCTGCAATTTGCATATGAATCATTGATGTAGTTCATCTAATAATGTGGCATCCTTGTGTGTTTGTGTGTGGGCAGCTTTTAAGGAGGAATCCTGAGAGAAGACTTGGATATGGTGAAAAAGATGCAGAGGAGGTGAAAAAGCAGCCATTTTTCAGAGTAAGTATTTTTGTGTGTTGTGCTGCTTAAATAATTGGTGATATACCATGTATATGATATATATATATGCTATTTTCATTTTTCCTTTTTTGGAGTCAACATAAAACTAAAGTCTACTAAATATCTCTGTTTGGCCAAGTGGAAAGTGTCGAGCAGTTGTTCAGTCAGGAATATGAAGCAAATATTAATTTATTTCGCATACTTAAAGCCTTTGTTGTTAACAATCAAACAGCCGTACATGATGACTTGTGTCTGTTAACCACTCACGAGTAACTTCAGGACTTCTGGAGAAGCTGAATTAGAAATGTTTCAAGCACCAAAAAATTATTCAAATGTATTGGGGGGAAAATAGCATTAAAGGAAAAAAGGGTGAATGTCACCATAAAGACGAACGACGAAAATATTTCCAAGAGAAATATTGAATAAAAATGATTTAATTTATGTTCGACTAGTTGGTGGAATGATGATGGAGTTTGCCACAATGTGGTGACACAAAAAAAGATCCATAAGTTCAGTATTAAAATGCATCACCAAATTAAAAAAATCAGTCTTGAAAACCAAAAGTAACAAAATCCTGCTAATGCTGCCTAACAATACATTTACATGCACATCGTGGTTTGCCTAAATACTTTTGTCTCTCGCTCTCATCCCCCTTCTAGAATGTGGACTGGGAGGCGCTGCTGCAAAAAAAGGTCCCCCCTCCCTTTGTCCCCTCCATTCGCGGCAAGGAAGACGTCAGTAACTTCGACGAAGAGTTCACCACCGAGCTGCCGACGCTCACTCCTCCACGCGAGCCCCGCGTCCTCACCCGCAAAGACCAGGAGAGCTTCCGGGACTTTGACTACGTGTCGGACCTCTGCTAGCCGGCTGAAGCGCACAGACCTCAAGGAATGTTGGGTTTTTTGAAGACTCTTTGGGGGGTTTTTTGTGGAAATTTTGGACGGAGGGGGACTCCTGTGACCGTCCATTGCTGTCTCTCGTTACTCACAATGTGAACAATTGCAGAGACTTAAGGATTGTGTTTGGTTTGGGTTTTTAAAATTGGAGACTAAGAGAATAGAAGCTCGATGGGTCACAATGAAGGATAAACGAAAGCCCCCCCCCTCCCTTCCGTAGCCGTACATCCGTGAGATATGTAACTTGCATTAGCATTCAAAATACCTCCTACCATCCTCTTAAGTGTCAGTGTGGTCACCGTGCAGCTGCCAGAGGAGAAACCTACTTTACTTACTGTCTTTTGGGGGTTTTAGTGTTTTTGTTTTTTTTAACAATGACTGTTTAGTGGTTGCCCAGTGGCCTCTCATACCAATGCCTTACATTTTCTACTCGTAGTCGTTCCACGAAGAGCCATTTTTTTCTCGGTAGACGCTGGGCCCTTATGTTCAGTGACAGAGTGCTGCGGGAAAGAAATGGAGACGTTATCGAAGCTTGGTTATTCTGACTAATGCAAGATTGAGTCGTTTTTAAATATGGGGTAAAAAACCACTGCAGTGGATTACTGTTACATCCACCAACTACATTTTAACATGATGCTGCTTTGATTTTTCGACTATAATCTGCAAATCAGCTGTATTTAACAACCCATCAGTTTGTTATTCAGCTCCCTGCACACAACTTTTTTATTTTTAATTGGGACAATTGAGTTTTAGGTAGATTTAAAGAGTTAGAATATACAATCATCAGCATTAAAATGTCATATTACAGAAAAGAAAAAAAATGGAACTCTAAACTGTGATGTAACACGCTTGACATCAAGGTTTTGAATGAAATGGATCAGGTTCAATCTTTGTTCAAATGGATTAAGTCATTTCCTTCCAGGACAATTTGAATTTTTGGTCTCAGTGACTGCATGACTTGATTTAAGTGTCTGTGTTGAACCATTTCCAGGTTACCAGCTGTTATCACAGGGTTTGGTTTCCACTTTCCGACACCGAATGATATCAAAATACTTGTTGAATATCTGCATATCCACTTTTGTCCAGCAGGTCCTTCAGATCGTGCAGCAGCTTGGTCGGTTTGTCTCGGCAATACATTTCTACATGTGGACAGTGATTTAATCAAAAAGCAACAAACTGATCAAAATGATTTTTACAAGAAATGGTAGTAAGTGGCAAAATGTGATATTATAGGTTCAAGTTACATTAGAGGTTTGTCGTGAGTCTGTATGTATAATGGTGTGGATTTTACTTATGAGTACGACAATACAAAACCATTGAGCAATTAATGTCTTCTTTCATAAAGAAATCCTGGCGTTAACACTTGGTCTAGTTTTGTTTGTTCAGTGGGGATTGGGAGTTTTCTTAAATTTATTTTATCATATTTTTTCGTTCTAAATATAATCAACAACACAAAATACTGAAACATTTTGATATACTGAAACAACATTGTTTTGGCACAACCAAAAGGAGGGGCAACTCAATATCTGGTGGGAGAACATAATTACATTACAGCTTATTTGTGCATTCATTCAATTAAATGTAAAAATGTTGACTTTATTTTTAAAAAATGTTTCATCACCTTGCCAACAGTTAAGAGGTCTGCTGGCAAAGTTATTAGGCTCTCAGCTCAGATTTCCTCATTGCCCCAGTGCGTCTTAGTTCTGATTCCAGTGACCTTTAATGTTCTTTAAAAAAAAAAGCTCAGCCATTAAAATACTACTTCTGGGGCATCGAGTATTATTTTTAATGCAAAAACATGAGACTGGATCACTGTAGTATCATTTTTTTTATCTAAAAAGCTTTGCCCCTCCTAACTCTTAACTACAACCACGTACATTAATAAAAGGACTGGAGTTTGACGATAAATGAATATCAGTTTTTTTTCTGTCTTCTTTACATCCTTCCATTTTTATAGGGCAATCAATCGATTAGTACTTATATGGTCTAGTGAGACCAGTTTTCAAGTTATTTTATGACCAGGAGTTTTTTTTTAATTAATTGCTGTTTATTTAATTTCAAGTGTTTAATTAGCATCCGGGGCCCAGGCAGTCATTAATTGCAACATTTGATCTATTCAAAAACGGAGAGAGATTTATTTGCTTTGAACTGTTTTTTTTAGGAATTTTGGTTACCATGCAAGTCATTTGAAGTCACTGAATTGTCAATGCAATTTTTTTTAAAATAACAAAGAGGTGTCAACTTGTCACCAGGCTGCCCAGATGACAAATTGATTGTTCTTGTTCATTTTGCTCCTACATAGATTTGCTTAACACCAATTGGCAGACAGGCCCAGATAAGTGGATGAACACAGTAAACTAGTGTAGCAAAAAACTGAATATAAGAAGAAACTAAGGTTACCGAAAATTTTTAAATATACTGAGAATGAGTTCTTTTTTTTTGTAAATCAACAAACAAATCAGTTTGGAGTAAAGTTGCATTGGTGCACATATAAACCAATAAATGGTCATTGCAAAGCCGAAGGATTAAGATAATTTGAAGTCATATATGCAAACTAAATACCTTATTTTTCCGTTTGGGTGAATGTTCAGATACTCAGCAAAATAAATGTACAAAACCCGTTAAAAACACTGTTTTTTCTTCTTTTTTTTTTAAAGGTTGCTCAGCGCAATTTGAGCACATACAGTAAAGTGAGCGAATAGGTCGTAATGATTAGAAGGTTGGACGGATGTTGTAGTGAGACTTTTGCACGGGTGTGTGACAGGAGTTGTGTAGTTGCTGCAGTGTGTGTCCGTCCGCGCGCTGCTGCTAGCCAGCCTACCTGCCAGAGAGGGGAGTCGCGAGCTCAGCTGGGAATCTCATGGTGCTCAATTTTTCAAGATGTCGTCGCTGGAACAGAGGCTGTCGCGAATCGAGGAGAAGCTAAAGCAGGAAAATGAGGAGGCTCGCCGAAGAATCGACCTCAACATTGACATGAGCCCGCAGCGGTCACGTCCCAGGCCCAGTAAGTTTCCACCGGGGTGAATCCAGATGCCGGTAAAAGCCAGAATACCAGGGGGAAAGATCGGAGAGGCGGAGAGTTGGAGTATGTGTTTGTGTGTGTGTGGAGGGGGGGTGTTCTGCCGTTCCTAGCTCCCAGCTGCGCGCTAACAGGCTAGCTACGTAAACAAACATCGACTCGCCTTGGTTTTTTGCTGGCAAATCTCAAACTTCACATATCGGACAGCTCTTGCAACGGGTAACGCAACGCAGAGCTTTGGAAAACCGTCGCAGCGTCATGACACTTGACGCTGACAGTCTTGTCCCGAAATCTGTTTCAAGTGTCTGTCATGTCAAACATGCTAGGTTAGCAGTGTTGTAGTGATAGTTGGTGGCAGGCCCCAAAAAACCGACGCGCTTTCCCGTTTTTAGATGATTTTTTGGGGTGTGTCATCTATGCCTGCCTATTAAATATTATCACAGTGTTGTGAGGTCGTGTATTTGTTCTCGAACTTTGCGGCAGTCACTTTATATTGCCGTATTATCTCTCACGATACATGCTAGTCAATGGAGGCTACATAACGTTAGCTGACGTTGACCAGACGCTAGCCAACCTTGGCCACGGTTTCGCAGGTAGTTTAATAATGCCCCCGGAAAATAAAAAGGTAGACGTAAATGCAGGTTTGCTAAAACGTTTATTTGTTTACTCCTTAGAGGTCTCTGTTAACATGGAGTTTGACAGGAGGCACTGAATTTGAGTTTCGGGCCCTCTCATTGGTAATATATGTTAACAAGTCGAGCTCTGCGAGGAAGTTTGTTACCGCAACGTTCTCCGGTGCGACCCGTCAAAACTCGAGGCAAACCCGTTTAACTCCTTTCTCTCTGAATGCACGATTTCTCATCAAACTGCTGATGAAGCTCAATCTGTAAACCAGGTCTCTACAACACCAGTTTAAGTGTGATGTCAGCACTGGTTGGAGAAGAATTTGGATTAGTAGGTCGCTATAAAAGCGATGGTGCTGTGATCAGTGACGTTTATTTGGAGTTAAATTGCCTGTTTGCAAAAGTGGGTTAATCTGTGATTGAAAATGATCCTGGAACAATATTTTCTCCCAGTTTGTTCAAATGTAACAAATCTGGTTGCTTTAGGGAATCATTACTGTTTTGTTTTTGTCTCAGATTGAAAACGAATCAAGTTTCGGTATTCTGATGTTGGTTGAACTGTATAATAGTGACTTTTTTCTGCTGTTATTCATAAGATGGAGTCCATGTGAGTGTGCACATGTGTGATCGTCTCAGTAGAATGTTACAGTAATGTGGGTGTGTGTATATTTTCTTTCCTCCGTCTAGTCATCGTGATCCAGCTCAGTCCTGCTCCAGCCCCTTCACAGCGTGCAGGTATCATTCAATCCATCGCTCCCTCTGCCACTGCATCCCCAACATCCTAACACCTACGTCTCCTTGTCTCATCTTCCACCCCCTCCTCCCTCACCTCCCCCGTTTTCCTCAAAGCGATACCATCTGTAAACATGCTGGAGAAAAACCCTGAGCAGAATTCTAACTCCACCCGCTGTGTAGTGTTGTCTAAATCTCTATCGGGCTTAAAAGTCTGGCAGTTACACAGCTTCTCTCATGTGTATGTAAAACGGTTAACGCATAACTTAAAAAATTATGGACTATTCAGTTTACTGATGGATTAGAAGTCTGATCTCTTTGATTAATCCGACCAATGGAATCATCTTTGAATACATCACTGTGAGAAATAACTTCTGTTGACATCAGATGACTGTATGTCATTTTAACACCTAGTTAAACAGTAGACATCACACCAGTGAATTAAAAGTTAACTTTTCCTTATTTCTAGCCTTTCATACCCCCCTCCCCATAAACCAAACAGTGCTGACCTGTATAAAACATCTTTATGAACGTATTCCCCAACAAGTGCAGGTGTTTCAGCCCCTCATTCTTCCAAACTCACAGCATCTTTTCCATCTTTCCGACTCCACTCCCTTGTCTGTCCTTGTGTGTCCATGCCAGTGGCGGAGTAGTGTTGGTCTGCGTTGACGTTCTCCGTGTGCGTGTGGACGTGTGTAGGACAATTAACCTTTGTTCTGCTGGAGGCAGAGCCGTACAGTGCATGTGGCTTTTTTCTGCACGGCACAGTGGAATGGGGTTTTGTTTGACACAGTGTTTAATCCAGCATCCCCACCGGCCCATCTGCAGGAGCGCTGTGAGCAACTCTGGCCTCTTGTTTTCTGAGCGTTCTCTTTATGTGCCGACCGTCTTAACTGATCGTGTCTTGTCTGACTTCCAGCTTGGTCTGTGTTGTGCCGTTTTTTTTTTTTTTTTGGACAGATTTCTGCTCTCTCTGACACATCGAGCTGTTGATGCCGTTTGTCTGTTCCCTCCATTTTCCCTTTTGCAGTGGCACTGTGCGAGCAGGAGGCGGGGCAGCAGTGTCTGCTAGTATCTGCATTTCAGTCCCTTTCTCTCCCCCCTCCTCTCATTTGCCTTGCTCCGTCTGGAGTCGATCGATCTTTGGAGGTGCCGTTTCTGCCAAAGACTGCCTTTCGCTGTCCGTCCTTTCCACACTAATCCCTCTTCCTTTTCACTAACCAATTCTCCCCCTTACAGGCCGATCCATCCATACGGCTCAAGGATACCACGGGCATTTTACAAGCAGACAGCCCACTACTGTGAAAAATCTGTTTTTATGATGATAATTATGACCTATGTAAGGTCATTTAAATGTTTACTAAATGATTGTTTTGCTTTCTTTTTTTTTAAATAGTAAATTTATATTCTTTTCAACCTCTGATAGCTTCCGTGCTCTCGTCCATTATCATAGCTACTTAGTATCTTTTGGGGGGAAAATAGCCCCTATACACATCTGTTTCAAAAGCGGTTGCTTACACAAGCAACCAGTTTTACAAGAGTCCAGATCAAATTAGAACAAGTCCTCTGAGCATGATTTGGACTTGTCTTTTGGGTCCAGAAGAATGTTTTGGATCGCTAATTCGACTGCTTATTATCTTTATTTAAGACGTAGGCTTAAATGACCGACTAAACATCGCATAATGGGTTTCCGAGCTTCAATCCCTTTCCTTATGTTTATACCAAAACACTCGCTGAGATCTGAGAACCTCACAACATTGCTAAGATTCCCTCTTGGATTTGTCTAAATAACCAACATGCAAACTGCCAGTTGTTTTATATTGAGGCCTGGATCAGATATCGTTCGCTGGCCAAAGTGGGGCCCTTTTCACATTGTTGGTAATTGACTACATGGACATGCTAGCCTTCGGTTTAGCCTCTGAATGAATTGGTTTCTTACCTGACGCCTTTAAGCTGGTCCACAGCCAGAGCGAACAGCCTATTTGCTCCGCACGTTGTGGCACTCTGAGATCTCAGCTCACTTGAGGGAGTGAAACCTCGTCACTTTTAAAGTGGGAAACGAGAGCCATGTTCCAACACGGATTTACCTCCCAAGCTTTGGGCAAACGCCAGGCAGTCTTTTTTTTTCTGCCTAAGGAAAGCGTTAGTTTATGCTTTGAGATGGATGCCATGTTTTTTTTTTATATTCATATATGTAAAAAAAAAAGGCTTTGACTTGAGGACGGGCGCAATGAAAAGTCTTCACAACTGTCAGGAAATAACTTTTTGATTGTGCCAAGGCCAATTTCCTTTGGTGCAGCTTTGGAAATAATGATGAATTGACGCTTTTTTTAAACCTCATTTAGTAGTTTTATTCAGTTATCTATTGAGAAACACCATAATGCAAACAAATAGAAAAGGCACAGGAATCTGTCTGTAACACTAGTATCGTTTATTGTTTTTCTTTTGGTGGAAACCCACTTTAAATTACCTAAGTAATGGATTCATTAAGAATATAAGTGACACCACAGAACCCCCTGTGTGATGTTCCTGTCTGATTGGTCGTGTCCCACTTCCACCTAGCACTCCAGCTACCCCTGGCCAACGATGGAGGCAGCCGGTCGTCATCCTCAGAGAGCTCGCCTCAGCACCAGCCCTACCCCAGCCGCCCACGACACATGCTCACCTTACCCACGCCACCATACGGTCTACAGAAGAGCTTAGAGAAGTATGTACGAATCTGTGAGACCGCTCAGACCTGGTGTTACCAGTGTGTTTTGAAAAAACGCCGAGAAGTGAGTTGGCCAGTTGTCAGCGATCAACCATCGCCGACATCTGAAGATTGACAATCACTTAGTGTCCTTTTTATGTCATAGAATCATAAATAGACCATCAGACACGCAAACAACTGGCAATGGACTAACATAAAAGCTGCCCCATGTTGAGTTCCCAGACGCCGTTTGCTCATTTGTTTGTGTTCTCCACCCCAACAGTGCAGAGATTGACCAGAAGTTGCAGGAAATCATGAAACAGACGGGCTATCTGAAGATTGACGGTCAGGTGAGATGCTCACATGCAGCGTTTTAGGTGGCCTCCATTTTTGTTATTCAGAAATGCCAGCGCTGTCCCACAGGCTCCAACAAAAACAGTGTTTTTATTCATGTCAGACACACCTAAATTATTAATATCATTTCAAATTTTATGCTTGAACACATGGGACAGCTGCTGTAATGTCATAGGATAATGATAATGTATTAGGATTAATTAAAGCTGGCATACATTTATACTTCAATTCATGCATTCCAGTTTGGTTTGATAGTTGAAGATAATTATTTGCTTCCTTATTTCTTTTCAAATAAAGATATTTGTGCTTTCCGTGGTACTTGTCCTGGACCTCCTTTAAAACAAGACAGTTTTCTCTCAGAAATGGCAATTAAATCAGCCCACAACAGTAAGGAGGATATGCTGTATAGTACTTCAATCCCACTCCAGGAGTCGATACTCCCAGATAAGGCTGAACGCTTGTTTGTTCTTCTCTGCATTCATTACGAACAAAAAAAATAAAAAACAGACACATTGCTGGATAAATCACAGGAGTTATTTATATATATATTTTTTTTTAAAAAGCAACACTACTCCTTCCGTCCTTGACCAGAGCTCAGATTTGGGTTGAGAAATAAACAACCTTGTCTGGCTTTTTTTTCCTCCGACAATAAACAGACTATCGTGGAAACCGCCAACAATCTCGGTGTCCTTGTGTTTTTTTGTTGGGTGTTTTTTTTTTTTTTTGGGCTGGTGACCTTATTTAGTTTATGCATATTCGCTTCTCTGGTGGGCCCTTACGTCTTGTTTTCTTTTGCCTCTTTGTGCTTTCCCAGCGGCATCCAGCAGAGGTGGCGGACCTCATCAGTGAGGGAGAGATCGGCAGCGGGACCTGCGGACAGGTCTTCAAAGTACGATTCAGGAAGACTGGCCACGTCATTGCCGTCAAAGTAAGAACTTCCTGCCCGGACCCATTTTGTGTTCACAACCTCGCTTGCTTGCATCTTAAAATACTTTATTGAAATATCTAAATACCTGGCTATTAAATAATCTAAATTGACCTCTTGTTTGCAAAATTGTTTTTTATTTTTATTTCTCTTTAAAAGAAGAAAGTCTTTCAAAACATCAAATTGAAAGTAACAAATGGCTGGCTTTGAGTGTTGAGTAGATGTACTTTTCTTTTCAGCAGGACCTTGTCTTTTTGTTTTTTTATTATTCAAATTAAATACAAGTTGGACACAGAATAAGATTGATCATATTTAATATGTACAGCCACAGGACAGATTTTCACCACATTTAAATCGATATTGTGCTGTAAAAATGTCGCATACAGCAGACACCAGTCTACACTTGTTTACTGAAGAGACTCCACATGGGAACATTTTTCCAGACCAAGACATGCACTAACAGTCAGATACTGTTTGTTACCCATCGCACACACAAACAAACTCAATTTTTTCTTCTTTTTTTTTTTCCCCCCATGGGGTAAACACAGATTCCCAGAGTCTGGGTTTTTCATGTAGTTGATTTAATATGCTTTTTATTTTCTAGGCCAAGTTTATTCTCAGTGTTGTTATGGATGGCTTGTGTTTCTGGGGCGTTTTAATACACAGTAAAATAGTTTGTTTCATTCCATTGTACTAGTCTGTGTTCTAGTGGGTAAGGACCCCAGGTGTACAATGCGGCACCAGTAAACTGAGCAGTATAAGCCTCACTTACAATGTTTTTAATCTCTACTGGGAGCTATTTAAAGTCCTCCAAACAAGGAAAATCTGTGTCCAATCATTATTTTACTCAGAGGTAATTCACAGAGTGTTTAGGGCGGGGAGTGGAGCCTATCCCAGATCACAGTGACAGTAATAACCCTGTATAACAACCCCTATATTTAAGGGATGATTTATTATCAAATTATTGATTATCACCGCTTCATCATATTTGGGCTGTCGGCCAACTCACCATAAAAGTACATTTTAAAGTCTAAACTCAGTTCGCCGGCTGTTTAATTTTGTGTTTGCGTGTGTGTCCCCAGCAAATGCGTCGTACAGGAAACAAGGATGAGAACAAGAGGATCCTGATGGACCTGGACGTGGTGCTGAAGAGTCATGACTGCCCTTACATAATCCAGTGCTACGGTGCCATAGTCACCAATGTGGGTCCAATTAAACTGAAGTGTTTGCATTTTTGGGATAATGGTGGTAATTCTGGTGTTGTTGATTAAAGTTAAACTATGCTTTTGTATCCGTCACTCCGCCTTGACTTTATTTACATATCGCATGTAGTGTACTTTTCTTTTTTTCTTTTTTAAACTTTTAACCTTTGCTTATAGAATTAAGCTGGTAAAAGCCAATTGTATTTATGTGTTGGTTTTCGTGTGCATTTAGACGGATGTTTTCATTGCGATGGAGCTGATGGGAACGTGTGCTGAGAAGCTGAAGAAGAGGATCCAGGGCCCCATACCGGAGAGAATTCTGGGAAAGATGACTGTGGCAGTAAGTCCCACATAAAATCACACATATTCACAATCTTTTTTTAATTTTTTCATTTATTTCATTCTTATCCTGTTTTTCTTTTTGTTCGTTTTTTATCCCCAGATAGTGAAAGCATTGTTATACCTTAAAGAGAAACACGGCGTCATCCACCGGGACGTCAAACCTTCCAACATCCTCCTCGATGATAAGGGTCAGATCAAGCTGTGCGACTTCGGCATTAGCGGTCGCCTCGTCGACTCCAAGGCAAAGACTCGGAGCGCTGGCTGTGCTGCCTACATGGCGGTGAGCACATATCTATGAATACATGCATGTTACACACAGAACGCCACGGGTAACTCATAGCATCGGTTATGTTTTTCCTTTTATTAGAAGTTTCCAGAATTGAATCTCACTTCACTCGATCTATTGAATCACTTCTTTGACACAATCAGTCAAGTTAGATTTTAAACATTTCTCTATAAGGATTTTTTTTTGTTTCAGCTTGTTTAAAAAAAAAAAAAACTGTAACTAAATAGAGAAAACAGAATATGAGTGAAATATTAGAAAAAGCCAAATTCGAATAAAGGAATTAGTACAAAGTTGACGGTATACTAATGAAGTAGCCACACATCTAAACTGAGTTGCATCTTTTTGGATCCTTGAAGCCTGAAAGAATAGACCCTCCAGATCCCACCAAACCCGACTATGACATCCGAGCGGACGTGTGGAGCCTTGGCATCTCTCTGGTAAAACCACTTTATCATGACAAATATTGTAGGTTCACATTGTTTGGAATGCGTGTGGTAATCCTGAGGTAATGATCAGATCTGATAAAGCTTATCTTAAATACAAATGCCATCTTAGGAATAACCCCATGTGTCTAAAAGTTTTATCTTGATATTTCCATGTCAGAGATTGTACACCTGATTTTAAACAGCCATTTTTGCTATTTCTTCTTATTGGAAAAAAAACATGTATGGCCAATATGATCTGCAAAAATCCAACTGCCATGTCTACAAATCAACAGGCCAAGACACAAACATCTCTTTGCAAAGAAGTGAACATCACTCATTTGATAATCAGAATCAGAAATACTTTAATAATCCCAGAGGGAAATTATTTTTGTTACCAACTCCAGATATACAACAGCATATACATGTAGATCTAAAATAAGCGATAATGATAGTGTGCAGAAGAATGAATAAATGCTAATAGTTTTGTCAGAATTACAGAGGGGTTACAGAGAGATAATATCTTGTTTTTCATGGTTATTTTGTTTTGATGAAGTAATAAAAGAAGGAAGTATTTGTTGTTGCCGGGGGAACTGAACATGTCTTTTTAATGTGTCCTCTAGGTGGAGCTAGCCACGGGACAGTTTCCCTACAAGAACTGTAAGACAGACTTTGAGGTTCTGACCAAAGTGCTGCAGGAAGATCCTCCTCTCTTGCCCCTCGGCATGGGTTTTTCCCTCGACTTCCAGTCCTTCGTCAAAGACTGGTGAGTCCGAGCTGCTTTCTGAAGCCGACAATGGGGCCCGTTCAGATTTTTGGGGGGAACGAGTGAGCGCAATCCAGCTGTAACTTGATGAGATCCAAATCAAATGTAGCCGTTTGTAGTAATTGCTTGTGGTTCTATCACCCTTAAAACCGGCTGATGTCCTTTATGTAACTTTGATTCAATGTGTGTGCGTGTCTTTTTACAGCCTCACAAAGGATCACAGAAAAAGGCCAAAATATCACCAGCTGCTGGTAAGTCCCAACTTGTGATGACCAGTAGATGCTTGTAGGCTTTTCCAAGGACATTTTTAGCCCGAATCAGCCTTTTTTCTCTAACCGTTCGCCTCTCCTGTTACAGGAGCATAGTTTCATCCGCCGCTATGAAGTACTGGAGGTGGATGTGGCGGGATGGTTTCAGACCGTGATGGATCGCACTGAATCGCCTCGCAGCAGCCAGTGTTACAGCCATCAGCATATGCTCCACTCGCTCTTCAGTAGGTAGCCTAAACCTCCACCAGTCTGGCACCATCTTAGCCATACGCTAGACTAGCCAAGCTTGAGCCTTGCCCACCCCAGTCAGTCTGTAAGTCTAGCCATAAAGCGGCGGCGCCCCGGCTCTTAACCCATTGTATTTTATTTTATCATTTTTTTTCCCATCTGTCCACCTGAGAACCTGAGGAGAGCCCGTTAAGGACGGGAGACAGAGACTCAGCTGAGGAAGGACAGATGGAGTAATGGACAGAGGGTGGACTGACGGAGGGATGGATACATGACAAATGCGGTCTCATTTAGCGAGTTGAATTTGGGGTTTTCGGACAAGAAGAGGGAACGGGGAGAGGTGCACACGGCAGTTGGCCTCAGTCTTTCGCACTCTGTGTCAAATACGCCGTTATATCTGTGCGTTACCACGACACCCGCGGACAAACCGTTTAACCCGGGCTTACGCGTTGCCTCTAGTTTTTAGTAGCTCTCCTCCTGTATGTCTGTTTTTAACGTTAATCCAAGCCATTTGGATTAGTCAACAGAGTAGTCACAACACACTGGAAAGAAATGTCTGCTACTTAGCAAACACAACTTGCTCTTGTACATAAATGACGATGAAGGAAAAACCGTCAGGTGCAATTAGGATTCTTCAGGTGTTCCTATTATCACGTTCTCAGGCCGAGTCTATATGCGGTTGTGTGTGTATGAGTGACCTTTTCCATGCGTATATGTATGATTAGACACCACCACTCTGTGTTTTTATCATTAGTTTATCCTCACTTATTAATCTACCTTCACACTGCAGCTCTAACACACAGTATGATTTACAGTAATCCGCTGGCTGTGCATTTTTAATAGGCATTTACTGCTAGCAAACCGGATAAATTTAGCTCACGAATTAGTTATAATTCCAATTATTTCACTCAGAGGCTGCTTCATTGAAAAAAGACAAAACGATCTTCAAAAAAATTAGTGCTACATTGTAACTGTGAAGAGGCTGTGTGTTTAGAATAGGTTGGACTCACTTTTTTTGGGCACAAATGCTGTCGCTGTGCACACTGTCCCCGTTTCTGCCATTGTTCGACCTTCACAGACTTGGATTTTTAACGGTTTTCTGCCACAAAGGGCCCCGTGCACGAGCCAATGCGGAAACCATGACTTGACTTTAAGAGGGAAAAAGGGAAAGAGAGAAAACAGAAGAGTAATGCAAGAAAGACTCTGGTTAAAAATGGGTGCGGAGAGCTTTGTCATAAGGCAAAGAATACTAACTTGTTCCGTACAAAGCTGATGAGGTGGATATCGTTTTTTACCTGTGGAGCATTCCTTTACTTTACTCCATCTACCTCTTTCCTTTGTCCAGCACTCGCGTCTGCCTCTGCAGTTTAGTGTGATGTGATGATCCACACTGTCACCAGACCAAAGGCTGTGCACAAAGAAGACGCTTCTGCGTGCTTTCTGACCGCCAGCATGTCGGATTTATGCAGTTATGAGGTTTTTAGGAGGAGGGGTGTCAATCTATCTGCCTGGGACCTTTAAAAAAAAAAAAAAAGTTTCAGAACTGCGTTCGTTCAGTTTCTGATCTTAGTGTTTAAGCATCAACTAAAAGGATGAATTCATATTCATTTAATTTTCTTCTCCCAGACCAGTCAAATAAAGCGCCTTCTTCTGAGTTAGTAGTATGATGCTCGCACTAGACAGTAGAAATGGTTGTAGCACTAGTTAGTCGTGGTCATGGGTGAAAACCTCTATAGGATTGTTTTGGCATAATTTGAGAAGGAAAATAAATCAGTCATCACTATGATATAGGTAATTAAACTAATAATGGCATCCTTTATTTATATATATCTATATATATCCTATAATCATTAATAACACCTTGCTATCTATTAACGTTAGTAGTGTTATTGAATGTTTAGCAGATTAATTTTCTTTTGAATAACTCATTGACTTTAATGGTGTTTTAATCAGTATTTTGCTATCCAAGGAAAAACAGCCTGTGTCCCCCAGATAGTTTGACTTTTACCCTTCTCCGTCCTTGAGCATTACTAAAATGAAACTCAGCACGCGAGAAAGAGAAAGAGACGGATCTAGACAGACACTTCAAATAGAAGGTGGGACAGAATGCTAGCGCCTCCCCTCTAGTGGGGTCCACAGCCAAAGGGAACCAAACTACACGCAGACCCGAGGAGCTGCGGCGGAGAGAGGGGAGAGCTAGAAGTCACAGAGACAGAGGGAGAACGGGAATGTTGTCAGGATGGGCAGGAAGGATGAGCGGGAAAGACGGGACGGGAAGAGCTGACGCGGTGAGGCGAGAAGGAAGACGACGAGCGTACAGAAAGTGGGACGGCGGGACTAAGATAGGTCGGAGACAGGCTGGGGTGTGTCGGCGGCGGGTCGTGGCGAGGGAAGAGGCAAAAATCAGCCCAGGTTTCACGGGGCTTCCAGGGTTTTAGGCTCTCTGGCTGCCAGAGAAACAAAAATATTTTGTGGTGAAACACCAACCTGCCAATTATGATTTTAGAGAGTTAGTGTGTTGTTTTGAATTCCTGTTGTGTTCAGACCTTGTTTATTTATTGACGTTTCTGCTGCTGCTACGTTTTATTGCTTTAGACGCTGCTGTCACCTACTTTCTCCCAAAGGACGACTATTTAAATCTTTTTCTTTGAAGCCAAATAAATTGAGTAATGCAATGTCTACACGTGCTACCAAATACAGGTGAGAAAGTCTGTGGAGTGCAAAACGCAAGTCAGAGTAGGCTCCGGAATAAGTGAGAAAAGGGTAAGGACACGAAACGCAACCGACTGGGACAACAATGCAAACGCACACCTCTCGACTCTAGCTCTGTGTGGAATATGCATTTCTATCTCACAACGACGCCACACAACGATTTTGCTTAGCATAGAAGTTATTATTACACGTGGGAGGGGGGTTATTTTTTAAAATAGTTTTTGTAGTTACATCCATCCAGATCCCTGTCCATCCATCCCTCCATCTGTCCAAAGGCTGCCAAGCTTGATAGTGCACACCAAAGGTGACCACAACAACAAACCAGAGCATTGTTACAAGTCGGAATACGCTTTGTAACATTGTATTTAACTACTCAGCTATGATTATATGTGAAAATGACTCGTAATTGGAAGAGGGTGTGTGTGTTTGTGTGTGTGTGTGTGTGTGTGTGTGTGTAAGGGGTGGGGTAGTGCGCTGTATTACAGCAGCGCCATGTAAGTGTCACATATATACTGTGACTGTCGTCCGTTTGGAGGGAAGCTCCGGTTCTGCTGCCAGAGCTCCAACCACACTTATCCATTTCCTCTGATTCTTGGGGTAAAAAGACTTTTAAAAAACGTCTGCAATTGTCATTTTAACGCCTTTGAAAGTATAAAAACTCCTCATACGTTGAAAATGGAGGAGGGGTGGGGGGGACACTTCCTTGTTCCCCCACTACATGAAGTTTATGGTTTAATTAATCAATCAAAATCTCAGCATTCGGCCTCGCTGACGTCACCATTTGGAAGGTGACGGTGGGGAGCCGTTAGCGGTGGCTCGTTCGGAGAACCACCGGCTAGCCGACGCAGGAAAAAAAAACAGCTACTCCCTAACGCGGCTCGCCTCACCCATTAAATTTCGAACCCCGAGCGGACGCCATGTCGAGCTGGCCCGGCTCCGTTAGCCCCCCGACCCCCGACTTTTGTTTTGACGTTTGCTCCAAACTCCTGTAAATAGTCGACCTGGATTTAGTGCTGCTGTACTGCTCTGCCAGCACGGCCCGACACACACCCACCGGTGCAGTTTCAGGTGGAACCTCTGTGGGTTGGGAGGGTGGGGTCACACTACAATGTTCGCTGTCAAAAAGAAAACCCCGACAAAAAAAACTTGCGTTTCTCTGCTTGCTTGTGTCCAAACCTTTGGGTCCCGTCTCCCACCCAACTGGGCTTTTTCTGTTCTGAAACTGTCTGCTTCTCACTCGGTTATTTGTTGGTCGCGTGCGTCTCTATCCAGGCCCCTGATTGGACGACAGCGTTGCGCTGCACCACTGTGGAAACCAGTCGGTCAACTGTAATTCTGGTTGTGCGTTTGTGTGAGGGGAAGGCGGGAAAAAAAACAACAACCCATCTGCTCGCTAAGCCACACACCCACGCCAAACGCGTAACACTATCCGCTCGGCTCCCGCCAATAGTGGCTTTTATGTGTATATTAGCTTGTCACACGCAAGGTCAGCAGTTCTGCGTGAACAGCTGGACGATGGCGTACCCTGGGTTGTGCGCATGCGCGTGTTTGTAACTCCCCATCTGTAAGTAAACCAAATATCATTTTCACTATGCAGTCATTCAAACCACGTCAGCTTGCCTCGACGCGGGGGAGGAAAAAGCTTCTTGTACATACAGATTTAAAGATTAGGTGGAGTTAGGGAAGGCGCTTTCCCTCCGGGAACCCGGTGCGATTAACGCGGCCGCCTTGTCGTTAATTTCCCTGGAACCGAGACGAGAGCAAGAGACGTGTTTTGAATGAGCTGAGGAAATATTTAAGGATTGTATCGGGGGGGAGGGGGGTGGGTGTAGTTTTTGGGGAGGATGCAGATTAGTGCTGTTCAGTGTGTCAGTTGCATGTTAATGTCACCAATGTAACTGCCATTGTTTTCGATTAGTTTGTTTTTTATTGTCGTTTTCTTTTTGTTTGTTTCTATCCAAGACAATGGCTGGTTGGGATGGGGGATGCACAAAACTTTATCTTTATTTATGATTTTTACACTTGTAGTATGTTTTTTTTTCTTTCTGTTTTTTGGAGAAAAAAGATTTGAACTATTATGTATTTAGGAAAAGAAACTCTTTTTTTGTTTTTGCTTTTTTTGTTTTGTTTTGTTTAATGTCCACTTTTGCAATATACTGTTTCACTTTGGACCCGTCATTCATTGATGAGGATGATGATGATGAGCTGTAATCTTTATTAGCTGACAGTGTTTGAAGAAAAAAAAACCCCGTTTGGTCCCATTTCCCCTTGTCTATGTAGTGTGTGTCTTATTTTTGTTGCCTTTGAGGGCTGAGGGTGTGTGAATTTTATTTGTCTACCAAAAGTCTTTATTGATGGTGATTATAATTATTATTATTAGCTTTTCTTTTTTGTCATTTTTTATGTTCACAATGATACACTTTTTATTATTATTTTTTTTATTATTATTATTATTCAGGGCAATGATGACACCAAATTGAACAAATATAAGTGGGTGATTACAGACTTTTCCTTGTTTTACTGGTAAGGAGGAGTGATGTTTTTTCTCACTTTTTACGCTGTAGTCTGTCCACCTCACTCAAAGCGCTACATAAGGAGAAGCTCCTTTTTAAAAAAAACAAAACTATTTTCCTTTGTCAATATCAGGATCAGTTTATTTCTTGTTACCCCGCTATGGGTCAGAAATTGTGCGCTTTTATTTGCCCCTCCCTTCCCTTCAACCCCCCCATTTCTTTTTATCCTCTTTTATCGTATGATTATTGTGTTCATTCTGTTGTTTGTCTGATGCTGTAGCTGTGAGCTGATGGTCAAATACCAGACTTTTTTTTTCCTGTTATGTTGAGACTGTCATGACTGATGTTGCACTTGTGATGGATTGAATTTCTTTTTTTTTTTTTTTTTTTTTTTTTTTTT